ACTAACGTGGAACCGAGGACGGGCGCCTTCTGGGCTCACACGGGGAGAGAACTTTCCTTAATGCACCTGCTTTTGCACCAGCTTGATGGGGGCAGGTGGACTGTTGTTGGTGACGCTTAGCATCGACCCCACAGCTTCTCCCCACCACGCACAGACCCTCCCGTCCACCCCAGATACTTTCCACCTTGTTGGGTCTGCCCCTTTGCCTCGGGCTCTGGTCCTTTAGAACTCAGTGGACCGTCCTTTGAGGCGCCCCTCGCGTCTGCTGGGACCGCAGGACCTGAAAGGCCTGGGAGCGGGGACCTCTGTGGGCGCTGACGTACTCCCCATGGCGGGTGCAGGGAGGCCACCCGCTGCAGCACGAGTCTCCAGGGTGCGTGGCTCTGGGCCCTGGGTGCAGGCTGACGCGGGCCGCGGGAGCTGGATTACCCGTCTCCCCGGCATGATCCATCAGCCCCTCAACAATGCGTTTGTGACAGTTCATTAGAGTCTGCACGGCGGAAGGATGGCCCTCGTGCGCAGAATTACAAGCCACTGCTAAACAGCGCGTCAGATGGCCTGTTGTCTGCTGTCACCCGGATGTCGTAGTGCTGGCTCGCCTCGCCTGTTAACACTCTGCAGCCCATACTCTGCCGAATGGTTTCAGGTGTGGCTTGATCACTGAGGGAGGGAGCTGCACCTGTCCCCGGGTGGGGGCCACGGCCAGAGAGGAGGAGCCAGGATCCTGTCCCTGGGCCTTGTGACAGGCCTGATGATGGGCCGCGGGAAGCAGCAGGAGCCTGAGCCACAAAACACGAGTCAGAGGGGCCCCGGGGCCGCAGGGTCAGCCCTTCCTCCCTCGGAGGCTTGCGGGAGACCAGCCCGCTGTGCCTCCCCCTGCCCCGGAAGGCTGGGGAGTGGCTGCCCGGGCGCAGGCCACCGTCAGGGGTCGGGGCGACGGCTCGGGAGGGCCTCGACCTGGGGGCAGCCCCTGCTGGCCGCACCGACAGTCCTGCAGGCCGTCCCCCAGGCTCTGGCCCCGATGGGCTGCAGCTGCCACCTGACACTGGGCTCTACCCAGTGAAGCGGGACCTTCCTCCTGTTGTTACCTTACAGGTGGCCTGTCCCGCGCTGAGACCAAGGGCCGTGCGTCCGTGGGACAGGGACCTTGAGGCCCCACTCTGGGAGCGGCCTTGTCGTTCACGGCTCGTGTTGGTGCCCCCGAGAGAGGCGGTCCGTGTTCTTGTTTGGGGGCACAGCCGCCATGGTGCCAGGGGCTCCCAGGCTGGGCCCCCCTGCCCGGGCTATGAGCTCACCGAGGTGCGCGGCCTCCCCTACACACAGCACGCAGGAAACAGTCCTTCCTTAAACCCTAAAAGAGGAGCAATGATGTAATCAGGTAAAGTGCTTGGTAGGTATGTGGACTGAATGTGTGTGGGGGGGTTGACTGCTGCACCAGCCCGTTCATTCGCGATGCCCCCAACCTGGGCAGGAAGCTCCGGCCGGGAGGGCCCTTCCCTTGGGCCTGGGGGCCGGGGGGTGGGGGCGTATTTCGGGGTCACCCCCGACTCCACCGGGTGCGCTGCTGCCGAAGGACCTAACCTGGCCGCTCAAGAGCCGGGTCCACACGGTCGGGGTGTGCGCCGTGGGCTGCGGCCGGGTCCGAGCTCCTGCCCGGTGAACACTGACCTCCTGGTGGGGGCATCGGCTTAGAGTCTGCGGACGGGGGGTGAGGGGAAGAGAGGAGAGGGGGAGGGGAGAAGGGGAGGGGGCCTCTCACAGGTGGGCAGGGGACCGAGGGGCGTTGCAGGGGGCTGGGGTGGGCGGGGGGCGGGCCTGGCGCCGCTGGGAGCTGTGGATACCCAGTAAGTGGAGTTTAGGCTGTTCAGTGGTTGGTGCCCGTGCTGACCCCCCCCCCCCGTGTCATCCCTGTCCACCCCACCTGCCACCCCGCCTCCGCCCCCCACATCGTCCCCCCCACTGCCATGGCCCCCCACGCCACCCTGCCCTACATGCCATCCCCTCCCCCACCTCAGCCCCCCCCATCTGTCCCCCTGTCCCCGCCCCCATCTGTTGGTGGCGCCGCAGGAGGGGACACCTGCCTCCGCGGTTCCCGGGCACCTGCTGCAGACGGGACCCCGCAGCGCCCCAGGGGCTCAGTGACCCGCGCCCGGCCCTCCGGGAGCCCCCTGAATGCTGGCAGCGGCCACCTTGGGCAGCGCCTTCCCCACCTGCACCCTCTCTGGTCCGAGGCCAGGCGGCTGAGGGCGGGCATGAGTGTCCATGCAATGACAGGCGCGCTCAGCCACGAGTCACCGGTGGGCACAGCGAGGACAATGGGAGAACCTTGGAAGCGTCCCCTTGCCCCAGCCCTGAGAGCTGGTCAGGGCCTTCGCCTTCCCTGTGGGCGCCGGGCCTCACGCGGGGGCTTGCTGTTCCTCTTCTGCTTTGTGGCGTTGCTGGCCCGGCTCAGGGCCACGGTCTCCGGCTGCTCTCCCCCGCCCCCCCGCTGGGCCAGCTCTGGGCTCCCCTCCATCCTCCAGTCCGGCCAGACAGGAGCCACCTGCACAGGGGTCTGCGCTTCAGCTCCTGCCCGGACGCCGAGGAGGACACAGTGACTTTCCGGAGACGCCGCGCGCCTGGCGGGAGCAGCACTGCGTCCCCGATGCGAATCCCCACAGGACAATGGATAGAGGTTCCTTTGTTGTGACCACAGCAGCGTCCTGATCTGCCTGCGGTGATTAAAGTGTAACTGGGCTGCCGTTTAATTTCATTCCAAGCCCTTTCCTAATTGTGCTGTGTAGACATCTTGGTCCAGGAGCACTCCCTGCCGCTCAGGCCCTGTCAGGGGCTCCGTCCTGGGAGCTGGGCTTCTGCTGGGGAGCGAGCTCCGGGGCGGCCTGTGGGTGCCCGTGCGTGGGTGCCCGTGTGCACGGCCGCCCTCCGCGGGGACTGCTCTTGTTCTCGGGAACAAGGCCTCAGGAGGCCTCTTCCATCCTCCCATCTCCTGATGAAGACGCTCCAACTGCATCTTCGGGAAGACGAGCCCCCCCTGCACCTCCTTCACGAAGGCTGGTGATGCACTTGGCCTGCACTGTTGGCGCCGACCAAGGAGCAGCTGCCCCTTGTGCAGAGCTCTCCTAAGCACCCCAGGCCCCACCCAAGCCAGAGGGAGGGGCTGAGGCCTCAGGTCAGGGGCGGAGTTTGGGGGCGGGAGCTAGGGCAGAGGAGGAAGGCAAGGCTTGGGGGGAGGCCAGCGGGGCAGCCATGGCAGCCAGGGGACACCAGGCTTGAGTGCAGCTGGGGGGGGGCGGCCGACGTGCAGGTGCGGTCCCGAGCGGCCTGAGCCCTCTGCTCTCCCTTGGCCGCTTGGCCGAAGGCTCGAAGCCCGTCTCCGGGGGCCCCTCTGGCCAGGCTGCGCCTGCCCTGGAATTGGGAAGGGCCCAACAACAGGTCATGAGGCCAACTCGATGCCGTCAGCGGAGAACCCCTGGGACTCTGTCCCATATTCTTGGCCCCAGGAGGACAAATAAGCATGGATACGGCCTGCGGGTCGGAACAAATGCACTGGCCTCTGGGAGACGAAGGGGTGGGGGCAGAGTAGGGGTGGGCTCGAGACCGGCTTCTGTGGCCCTTACAAATCTGGGATCCCTTCAGATTGCAAATCGGGACAAAGGAGAAAGGGTGCAGGGTCGACGGGAGGTACATGTGTTGAAGTTGTCAGGGAGGAGCTACACGCTAGCTGCGTGAGTGTGTGTACACGCACGGGGTGTGGGCCACCAGCTGCCAGGATGAGCTGGGCGGGGGTGGGGAGCAGGGGCTGGGTGCCCGCGACTGGGAGACCTGGAGCCCCCTCTCGGGTTGCCTCGGGTGGGCGCGGCCTGGGCGGCAGCCTGTGCTCCTTGGAACAAGCCTACTTCCAGGTGTACTGGAGGGAGGGAAGGGCCGCGGGAAGGCGGGCACACAAGGGTGCTCCCGAGATGCTGTTACGGCAAAACATCGGAAATAACCAGAACGCCCACCAATAGTGGGTTGGTAGGACAGATAATGGCAAATTCTTATAATAAAACATTGTCCGTCTTAGAAACGGCGATCACACCAAAAATGCCCGAGCGACATTTTGCTTGAAACCAGAGCCCATGACCGTGTGTGTAGCAGGACATGAGGATGAGTCATGTAAGGTCACGGAGACGGCCCGGACGGGTGTCACTGGAGAGTCGTGGTGCCATCTCCAGGTGTGGACGATCTTTCTCTCTCCGGTTTTGGGGGCGAATTTCATATTGTCCGGATTCTTTTTTCTTTTTTTAAGATTTTATTTATTTATTCATGAGAGACACAGAGAGAGAGAGAGGCAGAGACACAGGCAGAGCGAGAAGCAGGCTCCATGCAGGGAGCCCGACGCAGGACTCGATCCTGGGTCTCCAGGATCACACCCCAGGCCAAAGGCAGCGCAAACCACTGGGCCACCCGGGCTGCCCCATATTGTCTGAATTCTTAATTAAAACAGTAAACATACTTAATTTAAAGAACTGTCAGTGGGATCCTGGCTTCTGGTTGAGACTTCTGGAGGGCGTTGTGTTCCCTTTAGAAAAGATTTTTCAAGTCTCAGGTCAAAATCCATTACTTGTTCTAAACTCGGTGTGTAGGTTACAGACAGCATTTAAAACCGAAATGACAAACATTATATGGTCTCATTCATTTGGGGAATATAAAAAATAGTGAAAGGGAATAAAGGGGAAAGGAGGAAAAATGAGTGGGAAATATCAGAGAGGGTGAGAGATCATGAGAGGCTCCTAACTCTGGGAAACGAACTAGGGGTGGTGGAAGGGGAGGAGGGCGGGGGGTGGGGGTGACTGGGTGGTGGGCACTGGGGGGGCACTTGACGGGATGAGCACTGGGGGTTATGCTAGATGTTGGCAAACTGGACTCCAATAAATAAAAAAATAATAAAAAAAATAGAAAAAAATAAAAAATAAAACCGAAACGCACACAAACACAAAGCTGAGCGTTATTTGGTGAAATAAGACAGATTTAATAAGCACATTGTGCTTTGTGAGGTGAAGGGCCAGCTCTGGGGTCAAACACGGTGCTTCAGGGTGTGGCCGCAGACCTGCTCCTGCTCAGCCGGTTCTTGGGATTCAGACGCTGAGGGACCCCCTGCACCCCACCTCCGACTCTCTGGAGCAAAGAGAATAAAGGCCCCAAAGAATCCTTTTTTTTTCTTTTTTCTTAATTTTTTTTTCCTTGTCCGTGGAACCCAAAGCCGCATTTCTCCCTCTTTTTCCCCAAATGCGCTGCGTGCTATGGGTTTGTTGGGAGTGTGCTTCTTACCAGCAGCATCGGGCGCTATGGAGGCAGTTTTCTCCGCAGAACCGAGAGCTCCCCGAGGGCAGGGCTGCCTCCCCCGCACAGCTGGTGCTTGTGCCTCCACCTGCAACATGGGAACCGGGGATGGAAAGATGCGGGGCCAGCTTGTGAGGTCTGTGCAGGGAACAGTGTCAGGTTTCCTGTTGACCCGATGCAGCATCGTCAGCAGTGAGCCCCGAGAGCCCACAGGCACAGGCTGCACGGCGGCAACAGGGCCCCGATGGCTACTCACAAAACACTCCATCCGAACGCGCGTGCGACCAGGCGGCAAGCCATCGCGTGGGTCGTCCTGGTTGTGTTTCTTCTCTGTGCTTTACAGTCTCTGACGTCCTGGAGCCTGTGACGTGGAGGGACGGCCCTGAGTGACAACCGGTTCCTACAGATGGCGAGCGACTCCCTGCGTGGTGTCCTTGAATTCCAGCCCAGCAAACCCAGAGCCCGCAGCCCTCCCCGCCTGCTGTTTATCACAAGGTCCCGCAGTGCGAGACCGTCCCCTGCCCCATGTCAGTGCAGCGCCGGGTACGGGACCACGAGAGGCCGCCGCTGCAACCCCGGCCTGTTCAGCTGCACACCCTGCTTGCCCGACGTCCCCCAACAACCACAATAAAGGCTTTGTTCTTGTTTTCCTCCTGCCCCTCTGGCTCCCGACAGACCCTGGTGCTCCCCGGGTGGCCCGCTGGGCTGGGGCACATGCTTCTGGCTCAGGGGCGAGATGTAACCGACTGTCCCCTCGGTGGCAATGGCTGCTGGAGTGTGGGCCTCGCCGTGCCTGATGACAACACGCCCCGGGGTCACCCCCCAGCCAGGGTCGCCATGTGAAGTGAGTAGGCACTCAAACCCCCCAGATTACTCTGGATTCGTAAAAGTAGACTCCAGCCATTTGGAGGTGCAGGTATCCCCCTTGCTAACAGGCCTAGGCCTGCAGGGGACGTGTTCTACGAGCACAGGGGCCCCTTGGACGGTGCTCGGGCTCGGAGTCCGCAGAGCGAAGGCGGCGGTCGGCGTGATCCTAGGGCCTCCTGGGCGAGTCCGCTCCAGACCCACAGACGGCAGTGGTTTTCGGGGCTGAGCACGTGCAAGGGCGTCAGCAAGGTGGGGGGCGACTCTGCGATGGGTCAAGCTGCGGAACAATGCTTTCAGACCTTTTCCAGAAGATTCCGGGGCACGTGTCGAGTGCCGCCCGCAGCAGCGGCTCTCGCTCTCTCTCACAGAAACGCCGCTCATCCTCCCTGCAGGGGACGGTGGGAAGCTCCTCGGGCCCGTCCGCACCAGGGACGGTCACGTTGGAGGCTTCGTGCGGTGAGAACGACTCAGCGGCAGGGAACTGTCATCTCGTTTCTGAAGCTCCGGGAGCTCGCCCGGTGGCCAGGGCTCCTCCCGCGGGTTTGGACACTGTGGCGATCTGTTGGGAGACAGGAATGTCCCGAGACAGCGAGGGAAGCACCTAATGTCGCAGCGAGCCCGCCGGCCCCAGCTGCCCGTGGGTCTGCGGTGTGACCCCAGCAGCTCCCGCCAGGTGTGTCCTGCGAGGCTGTTTCCGAGCTCGCGGCCCGGACGGCCCGACCGCGGGACGGCAACGACACACCGCATATACCCACGTCTGGGAGTGGGCCGGCTGTCCCGACCTGGGGACACGGCTCAGCGCGCCGGGTGACGGGGACACGGGGCCTTGACGGGAAGCTGGGCCTCCATAGCAGGCTGTGGAGGGCACAGAGCTGGCTTTCCTGATGAAAGGCTTCAGGCGGCAGCAGGCCGGTGGCGGGCTGTGCTTGGCCGCAGGTGGCGGGTGCCCAGGCCTCGTGGGCGTGCTGGCTCCTCGGAGGGTGGGGCTGCGCTGGTGCAGGAGGTCCTTGTTGGGGACCCCGGGCTGCGGCCTTGGTGTGTGGGGGGCCTGGACGCGGGAGGCTTGGGGGGGCCGAGGGCCGCGTGGGGTGGCCTGGGACCACCGCGCTCCAGCTTACCTTCCCTGAGGCTCAGCCTCTTCATCCTCATCTCCAAGGATTGTCCTAAAAGTTAAATGAGATTAAGTAGGTGAAGCTTTCAAAGTGCTTCCCTCCGTCAGGCTCATCAAGGACGCTGCTTAGGAGCAGGTGCCGCATCCCTCCCTCCTCCCCTCCCTCCTCCCCTCCCAGCTGGTCCCGGGCAGGCGTGATGAGCAGTGCTGACCCACCACTGAGGCAGGAGCCAGGGTGCAGCTCCTGACCCCACAGGTGGGGCCAAGGCACCGTCACGAGCGGCTCCTAATGGTCCAGGAGGGGACGGGAGTGGCTCGAGGGGCAGGTGAAGGGGGGCAGTTGGATTATCCTCTCTCCTCTCCTCTAGAGAAACATGAGATTTCTGGCCCGGAGGACAAAGTGCCCCCCTCACAAAAAGGAAGACAGTTAAAGCTTCCTTCTGCTGCAGGGTAACAAGGGGAAGATGCCCCTCCCCTCAGGAGGTGGCCGCCGGCTTTCCCCACCCAGCGGAGCAAGCTTTCCCTCACTGCCGCTAGCTGCCTCATCCCGAGCATTCATTTTCTTTCATGAGCAGAATTAATGACTTTAGCTCGTGAAGTGGTGCCTTTCATCACCAAGGTTAACAGCTCCCTGTGGCAGGTCCCCACTCCGCTGGGACGGACGATGCCCCCCGGGGGCTCAGGGCGGCCCGCACCCGTCCTGCTCCTGGGACACCAAATGCGTCCTCTTCCTTCAACCCACAATCTCTGCCCCTGTTAGTCCTCCAGCTTCAGGCTCCCCTCTCCCAGGAGTCCTCCCAGATTACAACCACCCTGTGATGTCATCATCTTTTTTTCTTTAAGATTTTATTTATTCATGAGAGACACAGAGAGAGGCAGAGACACAGGCAGAGAGAGAAGCAGGCTCCATGCATGGGAGCCTGATGTGGGACTCGATCCTGGGACCCCGGGGTCACGCCCTGGGTCAATGGCAGGTGCTCAACTGCTGAGCCCCCCAGGTGTCCCTGATGTCATCTTCTTAAAACACTTGCACGAGCCCGTGACAGCGAGACAGCCAGCCCTGTGGGGCCACGCTGGGGAGACGCTGACCAAGGCCCCTCACCCAGGGTAGGGCCAGGGAGGTTTCTGGAAGGAGGTGCATTGAAGCATGTGGCGGGTCATGGCTGGAGCCAGGGCCTCCTCCCGTCCACTCGGGGTCTCTTCCTGCAGGGCAGCTCTTACTCCGGGGCCTGGCCCCTCGCAGCCCGCTGGCCCGATGCAGCCCGTTGCCTGCTCCTGTGAATGCGATTTTACTGGCCCGAGCCGTGAGCATCCCCGGTGCACTGGCCAGGCTGCTGCGTGTGATGCCGGCCACGCGGAGCAGCAGCAGCAGGGGTGGCTCTGCGTGGAATCAGTTTGCCCGCCCAGCTCCCAGCGCGTTGGCTGTTTGCGGTGAACCGTCCTGACGCTCAATCTCCACCAAAACGTTCCTGCCCTCGGAGCCGAGCGGTCGAGTCTCAGGGTAGCCCGTGTTACCGCGCTGAGAATCAGGCCGTCAGGGCACCGTGTTTGGATCCTGGGTCAACCCGGTGGCCAGTGGCTGTACAGCAATAGAAATAGTAAGAGCAGCAACGGTTCCTATTGGCTCGGCGTTATCATGTGACAGGCTTGGGGTTGGGCTTGCAAAATACATGATTTCATTCTCATAGAAATATCTGGAATGTGGGTATTTTTATCCTCATTTTACAGATGCTGAAACTGAGGCTCAGAACAAGTGGTGAGCCTAAGGACCACGTTCACCCTCTAGGAAAAGAAGAGGATATAGAAAACCAGTAGCGGGGTCCCTGGGTGGCTCAGGGTTGAGCGCCTGCCTTCAGCCCAGGGCGTGACCCCAGGGTCCTGGGATCAAGTCCCGCGTCGGGCTCCCTGCATGGAGCCTGCTTCTCCCTCTGCCTTTCTCTCTCTCTCTCTCTCTCTCTGTCCCTCATGAATAAATAAATAAAATCTAAAAAAAAAAAAAAAAAAGAAACAAAAAACAACCCAGTAGCCTAAACGGAGCTGAGTGCTCCCCCCACCGTGTAACTGCAGTGTGTCCGCGGGCGGGGGAGCAGCAGACACTTGCACCTGCCTTCCCGGGGCCTTCTGCCCCTCAGCAGCACTGAGTCCCGATTCTCCTCGGGGCAGCGGGGCACCAGCCAAACACCTGCCTGCCCCTCGGGTACCTGTGGTGACAGAAGCCGGAGCGGGGACCTGCAAACACCAGGTAGGAGCTTCCGGGCCCCCACCCGCGGACACACCGGGCCTCACGGGGCTCACGCTGCATCCACGTCACTCCCACGCGCTCATCGGGCCCAGTCGCTGCCTCCAGCCCAGGGGCCAGGCCTCCCCCACTCCGCCCCCGTCAGAGCCTGGCGACCCATGCACTGGGTGTGGGGCTGCCCCTTCCTAGGCTGCCCAACGCATCCCTGTGGAGGAGGATGCAACAACCACAACGACAAGAAAACCAGCCTTCCAGCCAGGGGAGGGGGCGATTTCAGAGCTGACTGGTGCACGAGGGGGGTTAGATTCTGAGGGCGGGGACGGCAGGCCTTGCCGCCTGGACGGTGGACCCAGTAGCTTCTTTGGCTGGACGCGCGGCCCCTGCTCTGCGGCTTGTGGGAGCGGCTCCTTGGGTGACTTGCCCTCGGGTCTGCTTCACGGGGGTCCTCGCTCGCCATCACCCTCCTGCCCCTTGGAGCCAGGCATGAGGGAGCTGGTCCTTCCTAGGGATGCCCAATTTCAACGTCTCAATGAGGGGGTGCGGGCTGCGCGTGGCGGGGGGGCGGGGACTGCTCTGCAGCCTTTGCAGCTCAAGTTGCTGCAGACTGGGCTTGAGGCTGCTCTGGAAACGTTCCCTTAAAACCCAGATTGGCTCCTGGTCTATTTGCCTCTGAGCATTGCGATGTGCAAACGCCCATAGCCACAGTGTGTTTGTCTAGGATTTTCGTGTCTTTCACGCCCTGGCCCCTGTAGCTCGGTCCACCCCCCCTCCCCAGCTCGTGACATAAGGGTGAGTGCGCTCATGGCCTCTGGGTGCTTCCGGGGCAGAGACTGCATCTTCTACGGGGAGCTCCGTGTAAAGGGGCTCAATGAAGGCCTGGGGCCCTACTTCTATCCTCCCTTGCAATTCCTACCTCGCAGCCCCCTCTAGGGCCACTTCCCTCCGGGGTGCAGCACTCTTCCGAGACTTCTTGGCTTTGTGAGGACCTTCCCCGAGCTGCCCGGCAGTGTGGTTCCCACACGCTCACGTGCCCGCCCGGCCTGGGGGATGCCACCTCTCCCGGGGGACTTGGACCACGCCCACACCCGATGCCTTCCCCGCCCCTGCGTCCACCTCAGGAGGCCGCAGCCCAGCTGCCCGCGCTCCAGGGGTGCTTCAGCCCCTCACAGAGCTCTGGCAGGTCCACAGTCCGGGTCCACGCTGTGTGCACCCCGTCTGATCGCAGACTGCCACCGGGGA